ATTTTGGGGGGGGGGGTGAAGGAGTAGGTTGGGGAAAGATTGATTCATGTTAGTGAGATCGGAATAAAATAGGAAACTATGAATCAACTGTATGAAATAGTAATATTATGACTGCTAGTCTAGAGAGCCAAAACCAAAACTTTACATTGACTTCAAATAAAAAATAATTTCCGATTTGTACTATTTATCGATGAATGAAAACTATTTAGGAATTACATCGCTCTCCGTTCTCCGCCTGAGTGTCTTCCTCGAATAAAGAGAACTCATGACGGGTTAGAGATGACCTGAACGGATTCAGTAGTACATCAGTGGATAAAAGAATTTATTTGCAGATGCTGTTAAAGTACATTCGAAGTGAAAAAATTGCTTGAAAAGAAAACTAAGTTTATCATTGATTCATTCATCATTAATTTATCTTTGATTCAATTCATGCAGACAGCAGCAACTTTTCTCATCTATCTGAGTTATACGATCACGCGGATTTCACCTTTAGAAGGATTTTTTCATTCATATAAAGTTTAGCTCTCTAGGACTTACTTTTATTATTTGATCGGCATCACTTTCAAAAGCCGCACTGATCAAGGGAATATGTCACGAATAAAACTTTCTTGCTTTATCATGTTCAGGCTTCCTGAAGAAAATCTTTTCGAGAAGTTATGTTTCGTCAGCTTCGCTCTCTTTCAGTAAATGATGCACTTTAATAATTGATTAATTAAATACAAAACTCACTCCAGACACTAAAGTATATATATATATGATCAAGCTCGTGCAACATCACTCTTATTCTATAAATACATTTCAGTTCCTGATATCATTCTTGCATATTGATGATCATTGGTAGTGTATTTACTCCTGACTTTATCTCCCACTTCTGCGTTCTTAGTTTTCTTCTATCACCGTTTAAATTTGCACAATCTTGAGTATCGCGNATCGCGATAAAATTTGTTACAGCTCAGACTTAAAAAATATTTCATGAAAAGCAGCATGGAAATTCATTCTTTCTAATAATTGATTCTTGTTTCATGAGAATGTTTATTAGGCTAAAGACACACCCTTAATAGCTTACATATTTTCACGGCATTTCACGTGCATACTGCAGTCTATGTGATCATTAATATATGGTCAGAAAATAACAGACTGAGCATATATTAATGATCGCGTAAACTGCCGTAAGCACGTGTACAGATGCAGCGAAATGATTCAGGATACTTTGTGTTAACCTGCGTTTATTCTTTATTCAAATTCGTTACGGGAAAACTATGCTTCTTTTCATTCAGTACACAGCAAATAAGTCAATTAATGGAAATTTTCTAATTAGAAGAAATTAATAGATTATTTGGTTACAGTTACTCACGAATTATCCCTATATTGAAAGAACTACAAATATATTCCAAGAAAAATAAACGTTGACCTTGAGGTGTGCGGCCCGTTGAACGAACGTCTTGTGGTGTCAGCATACCCAAACCGAATGAAACATTCAACAGTTTTCGGTATATAATTAAAACCGAGAGGTAACTTAATCGAGAGATATAAATCCGATGACTCAGTTCCTCACTTGCGCAAACCTTTTGAAGTGAACATAAGCCCAATTTATAGCACAATCAATGGAATTTCTCCATCAAGGTATAGATAAAGAGGGAAAAAGTCGATCATATCGAAGCAAGACAATGGTTGGATTTGATCGCAGCCGAGAAAATTTGCACACAACCCATATGGAGAATAGTTTGAGCGAATTAGTCGTTTTTTCATCACGCTACCTTTTGGAAACTGATACCTTAAGTTTAAAAGCAGCTTAGGCTACCTAAGATGAAGCCATTATTTAACACCTAACAGAGCAGAGCACGTATTAATTTTGGGAACAAATTCAAAATACATCTCCTGTCCATTCGGCGATGGGTTTATCTCACTGTTGGTCAACGAGCAATTCAGCCGGCGAAGGAAGATGATCTATTGACCTAGGATTCCAATAAATTTTGTTTTACCTATCAAAAACAGTATACATCCCGGCTAACGAGATGGAGGGAAGTAAATACTGANAAATACTGAGCACCTTGTTGTTGATCTCCTGCACACACCAATCTGGATATCGCAAAATTTCTTGCACTGATTCGGGAGGCTTTCAATAACGGTCACTCTCGAAATGCATTTGCGGAAGTCATATTTTTCACATATATAGTATATCTTCTTGCTTGAGGTTGGCAGTAGAAAACGGTTAGAACTGATCAAATATTTCCTCTTCACATTAATGCAGCTTTTGGAGAGGTCATGTTTAATGTCATTTTCGATCAGTTACCAGCAAGCAGTTAGGATTTGAATGTAATCGAAAACTTTACCCTGTGTTAGAAATTGGGATAAGTTAGCTACCTCGGCAGTGGTAATCATTGGTTACGGTGCGGCATGTATTATAGGAAACTGGCAAGCGCTGTAAGACAGTCAAATTGGTAGATTTCATGCAAATGCGAATGTCTCTAGTACTCAAAAATGAAGAAGGGATGATAGAACATGGACAAGATTAAAGTACTTTTCCTGTATGAAGTCTATGAGTCATTTTGATAAATTATTTCTGGTTATTTTTAATACATCAGGACCAAATGTTGTTAGGAGTGTTTTGTTTCTTTTATTTTACAACTGACGCACCAACAACCATCGGTAAAATTGGGAAATTATACGTTTTAATAACATTCGGCTAACACGTACCTGGATATTTTTACAAATATGTTGAGTCTGATGAGGAGCAGTATCATATTTAATCCCTAGAATGAGACTCGAAAAACTAAGCGTTGATAGGAACAAATATATATATATATGTATATAATGTATGTATATATATGTGACGACAACGCAACAGCAACATAGATAACAGCAGGTAAATGACTGTTATGAAAACTGTACTTAGAGAATTATTATTTTGAAATTAAACATCTGAACCCTATGAACAAGAAGCATGAACTAACCTATGACCAATATAGTCCGATGTGTAAGTTGGGATTCCACCAAAACGAACGGTTGGTGGTGTCCATTCTGTTGCTGCGGGTCGTTTACGCGCCTCTAATTCCCATAGTCGATAATCGGCTGTGAAAAATGGGATAATGTCACTTCATTAGATCATGTTTTCGTAATTGCACATTTTAGACAAAAACCCAAATAACAATTGAGCCGACAAAAATGAAAGAACAATATTCTGTCAATGAATGATGTGGTGCAAATAACACTGAATTGTAAATCTCAGATAAAATGAGCCACGCTTGTTTCTTTTTTTAGATCATTGAAAACTCGCGTAAGATAGTGAACTGTAAACTTCACGCGAACCTGCACAAGAGTAGTTGTTGGTCAGGATTGGAAGAGCGCGCAAAGATGAACCTCGTCAGGCGAATGGATCTGGATGTTTTGAGTCACTGCACTTTGATTTTTTCCTCGGAACAGGCTCTGCAGAGGAGACAACACTTTGTTCTTCCTAGACTGTAAACCAACAGGCCTAATTTCTTTTATTACATACCAGTGTGTGACGAACAGCAGGCCGGGCGGACCCCACAGTCCAGAAAAACTGCTGTTCAGTGATGGTAACCGGCAACCTAAGCCTCGGGACTTGGAGTGACGAACCACATAAGGACCCTCTAGGTCAGGCGTGGTATAGAACCGGGCGACAACAAATTTGCTTACCACGAAAACATTTTACGTTTGGAATCCCCTTTTAGTAAATATTCAATACATGCTGCTACCCAATTGGAAGGGCGTCGTGTTAGACTGTAGAAGAAATAGCCGAGTGCTGCGCCCAGTATTTACTTTTTACGCACCCCATCACTTGCACCTCTTATGGAATTTTACCTCTTCTCCAATTGATTTCATAGATAACATGCTTAATCTCTCGTTTTCTTTTACATTCCTTTCATGCAACGCTATGATGCTATGCTGAATTGAGCCAAACAAACCTGAAAAAAATGGAAGAAGAAAATCACTTAAAATAAATGAAAAAACTGGTCACTCTACAATAAATAACTGTATCAAATGTAAACGAAAATTAATGAAAAACGTACTGCGATAGGTTGGTTCTCCTTCGAATTTGGCGCTCAACTTTTGTCTCGTCTGTGGCTTAATTGGAGTAGCTCGGCTGTTTTCTTTTGCTACAATCAAGGATCGAAAAATTAATCGAATCAAATGATTAAAAAACTAGGAAATTTTATCAGTACAAATGTCAACACGAGCCGAAATTTCATCACTTTGGAAGATCTCGTGAGAAGAAATATTAACAGATTCCTGTGATTTTACCCGCCAAAGCAATCGAGAAGAGCACTTTAATTGACCGGACTAGCTATTTTGTTTCATAACAATAACACTCATTAACCATATACTAACTGGATAGTAAAAAGAAGAGGAAAAATTAATATAACGAGCTGCTTTCTCACCATTTTTCCTAGTTATGTTCGATAGCTGCAATCGTATGAGGCTCTTGGACATGAGGTGATGAAGTGATGAAACCAACTTCAATCTACATCATTCACGAAAGTTTGAGTGTTCATGGTGTCGAATACCAGTGGCCAGATAAAGAGGAAGAAATGTGCACATCATAGGTACTATGAATGCTGACGGGTTGTTGGACTACACTATAAAAAGAGGATTCTACAACTCCGTATTGTGCCCTCAATGGCTGAAAACTCTCGTCCATCAATTATTGTAATAAGAGCAAACATCGTTTGTGATTGTGTAACAACGCACCCTATCACTCAAAACTGTAAAACTTGGTTGTCGGAGGAAGAATGAGCATATTCAGACTCGCTCCATGTTAACCAGCGTTGAATCCGATTGAAATGATATGAAACATTACGAAATCAAAATGCCAAGTTTATGACGGGTGATAGTGAAGGAGAAATTAACCAATAGGATTGAAAAATAGCTAGCGTTGAATCCGATTGAAATGATATGAAACATTACGAAATCAAAATGCCAAGTTTATGACGGGNGTGAAGGAGAAATTAACCAATAGGATTGAAAAATAGCTTGTTTGGAAAACATAGCTGGTGATGCCAAGTCTAAAATCACGAAGGATCATTGTCAGCATGCATCTAACCATCCGACAGCTAAAAAAAAGTGCTTGATTTGTAATACATTTCATCACTAACTCTTTGTTTTAATCACTGAAATTTTTTGTGAATGAGAAATGTAAGTCAGAAAGTTCTATGATTGTTGAAGTGAATATGCCGGGTATTTAGGAAGTTTCGTAAAATTTAGAGCGCATTTACAGTTACGGTAAGCTGGTTATGGACCTTGCGTTTGCGGATAATTTCATACAGAAGCAGTCACTCGATAGGCGTTTTCCATGGCACTCACTAAATAATTTCCTCCTCTGAAGCGAGCACTGAATATGGTGGAATGGTCGGATCAGTTACGCTGACGTTAATTGTAAGCCACTAGGTATCAGAACATTTGCCATTTGCCTTTTGTTCACAATACAGTAGTTGTTAGTCTGGAGTTCGCCTAATGAAATCTAGTTTGTTAATCTGTAACTACGTTCATAGTCTTAAGCACTGCTATATCACTCCACATTCAACTGGCCTTTGTGCCTTTGAATGCCAAAATCTAGGCCATTACATTCGTTCTCCCAGTGTTCAAGTTCTAGAGAGACCTAGCCGAAATGGAATTCCAATCACTATGTAGCCGAGGGTATAGGTTGAAACAGAAACAATACAACACACCATGACCACATTCACACTTGTTTGTAGCCATCCCATTGTCGGTTCAACTTGTCACGGCACACTTGTATATGAGACCGACTGAGGTCAATTGTCGTCTGGTTAGTTCATTCCCGTCTAAGAAGCTCACTCGATCAATGCTCAAGGGTATACGGTTTCCCGGGAGGGGGTGGGTAGAAGACAGACTAACGGTCAAACCTCAGCCCACTCCACCTAAACTTTCATCCTCGTTCGGTAATTCACTCAAAAANCCTTGACTGGGCAAATACTGCCATTTGATGCTAGTCCTCCATNGAAGGGTGGAGGTTCAGCCTTGGTTTTGGAGTTAACGAAACTCCTGGGCTCAGTGTGGGAGAGGGAAGAGGTTCCAGCTGAATGGTGTGAATTGGCAATCATACCGATTTACAAGAAAGGCGACAGATCCACCTGTGAAAACCACAGAGGAATTAGTTTAATCAACATTGCCTCTAAACTTCTCGCCGGTATGATACTCCTTCGATTGTCTTCCGCACGTGAAGGGTGCACGCGTGAGAACCAGGATGGTTTTAGACCCGATCGAGATAACATTGACCACATCACTCTCCATCAAATTCTGGAGCATCGACATTCCTTTCGTAGACCCAGCACCCCTGTTTTTCGCAATTTGCAAGCGGCTTTCGACTCAGTCGACCGCTCTAAACTCTGGCGCTACCTATCCCTGAAGGGTGTGCCCGATAGTTTTATTTTAATATTATGATCGCTTTATACTAATAGCCGAAGTCGAGTCCGGGCTTACGGCACTTCGCTCGAATTCACCACAGAAAGTGGTGTACGTCAGGGTTGCCCTCTCTCTTCTTTTCTATTCAACTTTGTTTTAGATTTGATTATGGAAACAGCCCTATCCTCGTGCGAGGAAAGTGGCATCGATTTACTCCCAGGTGGCAGACTATCTGATCTAGAGTATATAGACGACATTGTGCTACTAAGTGAAGATGCAGGTAAGCTGCAAGCTTTTTGGACAGCTTGAATGTCAGTGTAGCCATGTCCGGTATGCGTTTTACACCCTCAAAGTGCAAAATGTTACTACAAGACTGGATCGGTTCAGCACCGAACCTCACTCTAACTGGAGAAGTAATAGAGCAAGTGGATAAGTTTTGTTATTTAGGCAGCTACATCTCACGCGGTGCATGCATCACGGATGAAGTGTCAGCTCGCATACAGAAGGCTAGGTTGGCATTTGCCAACTTGAGACATCTGTGGAGCTGTTGAGACATCCGGTTGTCTGTAAAGTGTCGAGTGTATGCTGCAGCAGTTTGCCCAGTTCTGCTATATGGAGCAGAAACTTCGCCATTAAGAAAACAAGATAAAGACAGACTGTCGGTGTTTGAACACCGGTGTCTACGCATCATTGCACGAATCTGCTGAGGCAGCCGGACGAGCTGAGGTTAGGCGCAGAGTTTTGGATATCGCGGTCGCCCAGTGGAGCAAGCGGTCGACCTCCATAGATTACGTTGGTTGGGGCATGTGTTGCACATGCCACAGCGAGCGATGTTCGCCGAGGCAAGTAGTGGGTGGAAGAAAGTCAAGGGTGGCCAAGCTAAGACCTGGCACGAGAGTATGAAAACCCTGACCAGGGGACTGGGTCACATAGGTCCCGTTAAGCTCCCTGACTAGGGACCTCTAGAAGATCTTACCCGATGGTTACAGACACTGAATGATATGGCTGAGTGTCATAAACAGTGGCATTCTTGCATCTTCTTAATTTCTTTGCAGCCGTAGTTTACTGGAGTTCTCAATTTTCTCTTCGACTCTACCTTCAACTTTCCTGTTCTTCTTCTATTATTCATCCAAATGGGCAACCAGCAACCAAAACCGGCTCACCAAAGTGCATGATTAATGGTTGTTCAAACTGAACTGAACTTCATTCGTTACCCATGCACCCAGTACTATCGAGGGTACAATCACATGGTGGCAACTGGTCCCAATCCATTTTCAATGTGTTTGGCTAGCTAAATTGCTTTTCGGCCTATATTATTCGTGACCAGATGTTCCATTGTATTTGTAGGCTGATATGGATGCGGTCAACCAAGCCAAGTTACGCTTGATTCAGTATTTCGCATTGAATGAAGTCGAAAGTTAACGTAGATTGGACTTTGTAAACTTATATCAACTCGTTCATTCCATCTGGAAGGAATTATTCTTTCGTTATATTCCTTTCCAGTTCTATAAATTTCACTGTTTTTTATTTCATGCGAGTAGTGGAGGCTTCGATTATAGGGAGAACTTAGTCATGTACAAAGCAAATGAATCGTAAACTGAAATGCCAGGTAGAACTGTTCAACTGTTTTGACCTGACCGAGCCTCAATAAAAATGGGAATCGATGAACCCAACTGAGAATTGATGCCGAATTCTCACCGACAGAAAGCAAACATACCGCCCAATTGACCCTCTGGCAGATCATTAGACCACAGTTAATTCTGTCTATGCACGATATAACATAGACCATCTTGACGAGTAATCACCATAATTCGCTCACTTCCCTATTGAGCTCAAAGGTATAACTCCATTGGAAAAGTTCAGAATACTTGTGACACGACGGCATCTACCATACAATCAAATTAAATCNAATTAAATCTTCCATTGCTCTCATGACACATGTAGTCAGATTTGAAATTCTTGCGATCGAATCATAACCCTGGACGCCAGGGCTGAGCTAAGGGAGATGAGATGACCGCAACAAGCTTGTAAAGGTCCGTTGTGCAATACTGTGTATAGGCAAAATGAAGAACCGTTTCTTCAGCTGCCCAGTGATCCGCTGGGTAGTATGCTTACGTTTTGCCTGTTTTTGTTCCATGAATCTACCCCTGCAGTCTCTGGAAACTGTGTTTTGACTTTAAAATAGGCTTACTGGGTGACTTATATCTACGAGTCCAAAATAGATAAATCAGCACAAATGATTGCTTGATTCCGACGAGATCTAGCAGAATTCAGATTTATGGTGACAGATAATTCATATAATTTTGCTTGTCAGACGACTGTTTCATAATCCAGAGTATCATTGTATGTTTCGCAGAGATTTATTTAAACTTGATTCAAGGTTCCGATTTCGGTGTGATTTGTATGCCAGGAATTTCTTTCTTACTTGCCCCGTTTTACACACTTGGCTTAGTCCTTCTGTCAAATAGGTGGACATCTACATGTATTTGCGGAGAAGAACATGGCAAGAGGATTTACATGTCACATTTGAATGGGGTCAGTTCATTTTCTGATTATTTCTGGCCGTTGCTCAATAGGAGGAAAAGTCGAAATGAACGGGAAGCAAAATAGTGTTCCGTTTCATGAACAGAGGTTGTCTGCGCATTCAAATATGACTTCAGAGAGTTTTTTCTACCTTATAAGCTAAGGACGCAATACACTTTCGCTGAATCACGAACCAAATCCATTTAAACTTCTCCAACCAATGCCCATCTAAGCACGCCGATGAACTATAACCGGCGACGTGTGGAATTAATCTGTTAAGATTGTGCGTGTATCAGAACTGAACTTTGACCCACTGGTATCCTGTTTACTAACAGCCCTAATGCTCATCTAAGTATAATTCAGATGCGATTTGACATGCAGAAGTGGTGCAGATTGCCAAAATCATGTGAAAAATCCTTGCACTTGACAATGCCCCATACAACAGAGGAAGCACGATTGATAGACTGAATTCAGGCAATACC